TTCTACTAATAACATCTGTAAATGGTTATGACCATTCAAAAAAAAAACTAATAATAAAAATATTAATAAGAATGATACATGAGGCTTATCAGTTCCTAATGTTGAAGAAAAGAAAACTGTCTGGAAGAACAATGACAGAAAACTGGAACAAAATGGGAACCAAATCAAAGGTTTTTTATTCAAATTTTAAAAGTTTTTTTTTAAAACATTCTTAAACAGAATAATAAATAAGTAGTAGGATAAGCTAGTAAACATAATTGAACCCTGTTTCCAAAATGTTCCAGAAACAAAGCTGTGTTCGGAAACCATGTACCATCGGTTTACGTAATAGGAATCGAGGTTTTTCATATTGAATTAATTTGATTAGAATCCGGAAAAGTTAACATATTATTGCGGAAAATTTTCTATTTCCAGCCAAAAAATCTCTTTTCTTAAATATGTATAATACTCCTTAATAATGATTTATTTTATTAATTGCTACTTTATTATGCCAGAATGCGACAAACCTTTAGTTATGATTGATAAAAAATGTTGGTTTAATCTTTTATTAATTTAAACATTACTCATCTGTTACACTAGCCTCTTCATTAGATAAAACTAGTATCCTTGAAAATTTAAATTTGAATCATAAATTTTAAAATATTTAATATTTTAGTTTCTATCTGCAGCCAAGTTGAAAGAACAGGTGGAGATAAATGAGGAGAAATAAATATAAAGAAATATATATATATACATATGTTTAATTTTTTACAATGATTTTATTGTAAATAATATTCCAATATTAGTTTTATTCCAACTGATGATTGGGTTAGACCCATGAAACATTTTGACTTGGAAGAAATATATATTTAAACATCTAAAATGTATATTTAAACTGAAAAAAGTTGAAAATACTTTATCAGTCTCCACTTGTGTGTCGAGAACTCTTGAAATTCTTGGTTTTCTACAATTGAAGAATATAAATATATACATTAAAACTATTTAAACACAAACTCTATCTTCTAATCCTTCAATCCTTGCAATCTGATGCCGTAGACCTTTAAAATGTCATATCATGAATTCTGACAGATGAGTACAAAATTACAAATGTTTAAAATATCAGGTTGCAACAAGAGAGGCATTAACAGATTAAGGTGTGTGGCGACTGATCAGTTCATTTGGCGTCTTATATTCCACATTGCCGTCATATCCTTTTATAAATCGTCAATAAGGCTTGACATTTCTTTTTAACTGTATATTAAGGTTTGTAAAAAGTTTATTCGTTTTAAATCCTATATTTGGATTCAGCGAGAAACGTTAACAGATTTATGAACATTTTAAGCATTTTAAAATTATTTATCTCACTTTTCTTAAATTTTGAAATTTTAAAAACCGGGCCAAAAAAGATTTTCTTAAACTAGTTTTATTTCAGCGAATATTCAGCTTTTAATTTTAATGATGAAAAAATACTCTTTTTTCTTATTATTTTCGTATGAAGTTTCTAGACCGAAAAAATCCAAATCCTACTCATTTTTATTTGTTTAATATGCGAAAAAATATTTCGTGATTAATTATTTTAAAATTGAATTCATCAGGAAAAAATGAAAATTTTGAGAACACTTGCATTTATTTTTATTATTGTTATAAACATAAATTTCTGTTGTTATGCAAAGAAAACGAAGATTTAAAAAAATCAACTCCGTTAAATATGATCGCTGTAACAATAAACCTATACAATTTATGGAATACAAGTTCAAAATCAAACAAATATAGAACTGTATTCCAAAATAGCAATTGTTAATAGCATAAGCATCTTAGGTAAATATAAACATACTAGCCTTAGAGGGCGCTTCGCGCCCATCTTCTAAATTAATTGTGAACATGTTCTCTTTGTGTACATCGTAAAACAAAACAAAAATAATTCGCGGATTTTCAAAATTTTTAAAAATTTAATGACGATTTGAAATTTTGATTTTTCATAAACCTTCCCTGGGGTCCCTAGATGTCCCACAAAAAATTTGGNTATGTAGTTTGAATATTTATAAATCTAATTATGTAGTTTGAATATTTATAAATCTAATTATGTAGTTTGAATATTTATAAATCTAATTATGTAGTTTGAATATTTATAAATCTAATTATGTAGTTTGAATATTTATAAATCTAATTATGTAGTTTGAATATTTATAAATCTAATTATGTAGTTTGAATATTTATAAATCTAGCTATGTAGTTTGAATATTTATAAATCTAATTATGTAGTTTGAATACTTATAAATCAAATTATATGCTATTAGAATTATATTTTAAATGTATTCAAGGTAGAAAGCCAATAACTTATAAGTAACTGCGCATTATTATCATCCTGTTTTATATATTATGTATATAAAATAGACATACATATAAATATATATTTTTATTTTCAACTTCACATTTTATTTGAAAAAGAAATCTACTAATCTATCAGTAAAAAGTAATAACAGAAAATTGTTAAAAAATTTTATTTGATTTATAAAGAAATAATGTTTTAGAAGGTGTGATTAGTAATAATTATATTTGTCTGTTTTTATTATGCAGAAAATGTGAAGTTCTCAGAAAAAAAGCAAATATACTACTTTTTGTAAATAATATAATAATCATACATTTTAAAGTTTAATAAAATGAGCAACAATTTAAAAAGTCAAATCATTTTGAAGAGAGTAATGTAGAGCATTTTTTTCTTTTTCTCATTTCCACATAATCAGATTTATCTCCCTTCCTTCCTCTCCCTCCTCACCTCACTTTATCTCCCGTCTATCTTATCCCCTCATNGGGGGGGGGGGGGGGGAATTCAAGATACTTTTAAAGAGGCATCATATCTTAGTTAATATCTAAGTTTACTAATTATAACAAAAAAGTCCTAATATAACAAAATGGCTTCAAGAAATGTTTGCAAATTCGTTCGGATATCCAGAAGTAATTAACGACTGGTGAGTAATTTCTATAAATACATCAGCAGCCCCCAGAATTATGAATAAAAAGACGACTTCTACACAATCTGATTTGTATTTTATTTTAAAGATCTATTCACAAACAAAGACATAAGTTAATAGATAAATATTACAGTTTAGATTTGTTTAAAAAATTTTCCAAATACTTAGTTTCACAAAAATATGGAAAATTATGCTAAATTAGATGCCATAAAATATTACTTCTTACGTTTCACCATCTATCAGTCGTCGTTATCTAATCCTCTAACATCAATTTTTCAATAAAAGATTTACAAAACAAATATTTGCAGTAAAAATGGAAAGAAACCTTGTAAAATGCCTCAAATTAAAGGGACTGTAGACGTATTTTAAAGTGACTATCCGTTAAAGACTGGAGAATGCCCGATTCACAACGGTGCCCAATAGATCTTTGACTGAGAAATATATCTTTGTTTTTAAATCTTAAAATCAGAATTCTGCTAATTACAATCTGTATATAATTCTGATAATTACAATCTGTATATAATTCTGCTAATTACAATCTGTATATAATTCTGCTAATTACAATCTGTATATAATTCTGCTGATTACAATCTGTATATGATTCTGCTAATTACAATCTGTATATAATTCTGCTAATTACAATCTGTATATAATTTTGCTGATTACAATCTGCATATGATTCTGCTAATTACAATCTGTATATAATTCTGCTAATTACAATCTGTTTATCATTCTGCTAATTACATCTGTATATAATTCTGCTAATTACAATCTGTATAGAATTCTGCTGATTACAATCTGCATATGATTCTGCTAATTACAATCTGTATATAATTCTGCTAATTAAAATCTGTATATAATTCTGCTAATTACAATCTGTATATAATTCTACTAATAACATCTGTAAATAATTCTGCTAATTACAATCTGTATATAATTCTACTAATTACAATCTGTATAGAATTCTGCTACACGACATCTGTAAGTCAATTTAATAATTAAAACGTTACCGTTACCCCCCCCCCTGCCATGATAATTTTCTGTTTAAAATCATTTCGACCGCTTTTTTCGTATTTTAAAGTCGTTTTTGACAGTTAAAAACTTTTCAGACAATGAAATAAAAGTTTTGGAGAAACTTATTTAAACATTACATACAAAATAGATTTAAATAGTTTTTACAGAATGCTTTAAACTTTGTGAATAAGTTCGATATTTTGAGGAGGAAATGAATGTTTTGTTTAAAAGAAAGGAAATAACAAAATCAACTTGATGGAAAGCTTTGCTTAGGTTTCTCAAAACTTTTTGATTAAACATTGAAAATATTTTTATAAAATAAGAAATAATATTAAGTTAGGTAACATTGAAAATTTGAAGTAAAATTTTCATGATACTGATTTAACATTGTAAGCATTATACAGGTGCTGTGTGGTGGGGACTACAGGTGCTGTGTAGTTAGAAATACAGGTGATGTGTGGTGAGGAATACAGGTTCTGTGTGGTGAGGAATACAGGTGCTGTGTAGTTAGAAATACAGGTGCTGTGTGGTGAGGAATACACATGCTGTGTAGTGAGGAATACAGGTTCTGTGTGGTGAGGAATACAGGTGCTGTTTGGATAGGAATGCAGGTGCTGTGTGGTGAGGAATACAGGCGCTGTGTGGTGAGGAATACAGGTGCTGTGTGTCGAGGAACACAGCTTCTGTGTTGTAAGGAATACAGGTGCTGTGTGGTTAGGAATACAAGTGGTGTAGGGAATCAGGTGCTAGGTGGTTAGAATACAAGTGATGTACAGAATACAGGTGCTGTGTGGTTAGGAATACAAGTGATGTAGGGAATACAGGTGCTGTGTGATTAGGAATACAAGTGGTGTACAGAATACAGGTGCTGTATGGTTAGGAATACAAGTGGTGTACAGAATACAAGTGCTGTATGGTTAGGAATACAAGTGGTGTACGGAACACAGGTGCTGTATGGTTAGGAATACAAGTGGTGTACAGAATACAAGTGCTGTATGGTTAGGAATACAAGTGGTGTACGGAATACAGGTGCTGTATGGTGTGCGTGTGTATGTATACAAGGGGGGGTATACACCGGTTTGCTCCGGGGATATTCTAACACTATGAGACGAGGCGAGATATGAGATCAGTTTAGTGTCAGATTCGGTGAGAAGAGGAGGAAATATAATCACGCAACCTCTAACATATGAAAATATCATGAAAAAAGTCTCGCAACCTCGACAGAATCCAAACCAATAATATCTGTTCAAAAACATGATAAATTAAACGTCTAGGGGCTCTAAGAAGAATCAGTTTTGAAAAAGTGATTAATCAACATCTTGATACATTTAGACAGTTTTCTAATCCTCTTAACTTGAATCCTGAATTAATCCTTGTATATAATCCCTTGGTATTATGTCTTTAATCCCTGAAGAAATCCACCTGGATCCCAGTAATCCCGATCCACATTTTCTTAAGGTTAGTTCCTACTTTTATTTTATCTTTAATTTTTTATTTACAATTTGTGTGTCAAACATAATGATAATGTAGACTAAAGCAAAATATTAACATTTTTGATTTTTTGGTCATTTAAATAAACTTTATCATCATATTTGGACTTCGGGCTTAAAAAAGAGAGAAAATTACTTCAAGTTAAAGCAAAATATAGTTCTCATCTAAAAGGCGATTTCACGATGACATATATTTTTTTTTTATTTTTTTGTAACAGAATATTTTAAACGATTCAAAACTGAAATTTGCAGACATAATTTTGCAAATTTAGTTCAGTGTTCTA